CACCTCCAGCCTCCAGCCATTTGGGCTCCCGGTGGCCACAGATGGCTGATTTCTGCCCCCAGGTAGCACAGGGTCAGTCCTGGCCTTTTTTTTAGCTGCTCTGTGGAAGGAGCTCAAAGCCACACACAGCTCTCCCCAGGCTGAGCTGCGGGGTCCTGGTGCCAGGGCTTGAATGGGCTTCCAGGGCCCCTCCCCAGCGGAACAGTAGCAAGTGTCACCACGAAGGGTCTCTTCTCCACCACGTTGTAAAGCTTGACGCGTATTCGTTTGTGAGAGAAAAGGAACCCCAAGACTCAACTTGGGGAAAATGCTGGGTCAGCCTGGGTGGGGGGTGCTGACCACAGCCCAGGGCATGGATGGCCTGGAGGCCTCGGAGATCAAAGCAGCTACAGGGAAAAGAATGAATCTGGCCAGAATCCACCGAATGTGCAGGAGAATGAAGAACCGGTCAGCCTCCTGTGTGGACTGGCTGCGGCCTCCCAGCCTGCAGGATGCAATGCGCATATTGGCCTCTAGAGGGCGCGAGAGGGTCGCGGGAAGGGGACTAGCACCAGGGACAGGGACACAAGCCCCGCCCTCAGGCTGGCCGGAATGGCGCGCTCAGCGAGGCCCGGGAGGGGGTGGACAAGGCCACCACTGGTCTGGAGGAAGCCTAGGAGGGCAGAGAATTTGGTGGGAAGTGGGATCGGGAAAGCCACTTTCTGGAATGTAGGGATTTTGCCTAGTGGGGGGTGGTGACTTCCCCACGCATCCCATGGGCCCTGCTGTAAGGGAGGCCCCCGGCCCTCTGCGGCTCCATCAACCCACAAATGTAGGCCTCCAGGTCGCCAGCCCCAGCCCCCTCCCAGGATCGCTACTGCCACTTCCTGATCTCTCTCCCTAGCCAGGAGAAGCCTGCAGGATAGGTCTCCACTCACGATCCTTAACGTCCGACCAGGACGACCCGTCATCCAGGTAAGGGGCGTTCGTTGTCTTCTGGAAAAAATACCCTGACGGGTGAAGCATGTTATCGCTCCTCTGACACCGGCTCTGGGCGCGCAGACACAGGCCAGCCGACCCCTCGCCAGCCGACCCCTCGCCAGCCGACCCCTCGCGGAGCCTCCGGACGCCAGGACTCCCCCACCCAGCAGCCACCAGGCAGTTCTTGCCTGTGGCCTTGGTGAATGAAGGAACTACATCACCATTCTCCCAAACACTGTGCCCCTGAATTCTCAGTCTGTGGCTTCTTGTCCCCACAACTCTGCCTCTCAAGCTGTATTTCCACGCTGAGGTGCTCACCCAGTTGTTTATTGTGCACCTGGTACATGCCAGGCGGTGTTCACAGCGGGGGAGAAGTGCTGCATGGCAGGAGGGCGGGCTCTCACCTGGGGGGGTGGGCAGAGAAGTCAGGGCACAGGCCAGGGAGGTCTGAAGCGGACTTCCTGCCCCAGGTTTGGGGACAGTCTCCAAAGGCCCTGAAGTGAGAGTATGAGTTAGAGGAAGAACCTGAGGCCCCCATGCTTGGCGCTGACTCTGAAGTCACGATAGCACGTTGGACTGTTTTCTGAGAGAGGCGGGAGCCAGCCTGAGAGGAGTGGGCGACGTCTCCACTTTGAGACAGAACTGGGCCCACAGGGGTTAGGCAGGGGGTTCAAGGTCATGCCGTCAACACAACCTCACCAGCTTCCCCTGCACTGAGCCACCACAATGGCCTCCCTCCCAGCTAGAGCAGAGAGCAGCAGTGGCCCTGCCGGGCCAGGCCCAAGGCCCACACGGCTGGCTCCAGGGTCCCTGCCCATCCAAGAGACATGGTCAAGGGTAAAAATTTAGGGGCAAAGGGCCTCCTGGACCAACCTGGCTAGCATGGGGACCAGGAGCCGGTGGCCTGCAGAGGGGTGGTGAGTGCTGGCACCAGGCAGAGCTGCAGGTGGGGCTGGGCCCCTTGCAGGATGTGGGGGACACCAGCTCCTAGAAAGTGTGGGGGACACTTAGCCAAGGCTGCACCTACTTCCATCCATTGAGCCCTGCTCAGGACTGGGGCTGTGGGACCAGGCGGGGCAGGAAAAGCAAATAGCATACTGGGCAGGGTGGCAGGGTGGCCGGGTAGTCAGTTCTCAAAGCTCAACACTTGGTGAGCCCAGGACTTCCCTAGTGACTGAAGGTCAGAGAAACCAGGGGTGCGCCGAGGTGGAGCCTCCGGCCTTCCCACGGCCCAGCCCCACCCTGGGTGTGCGTGGGGCCGGCCGAAGCCAGTGTGAGAGCACCAGAGGAGTCGGACTCCTCCTGGTTAGAACCCCAAAATCCAGAGGGATGGCAGCCACGTGTCCTGGAGAAATTATGTTCTACCTGTGACAAGTCACTCTTGAGGACAAGAAGTACTCAGAGGGCACATCCTCAGGCAGGAAGTGGCCCAGATGACAAAAGGCTAAAGCCACAGGGTGCTGACAGGGACCTGAGGGCCAAACCCAGACCTCAAAGGCAGACAAAATCACTGAAACCCACAGGAGGCAGGGTAGTTGTTTGGGACACTGCCTCGTGCCCCCCCCCCCTCGGCCCTGGGCTGGAGTGTTAACTAGTCCTCCTGCCCACCCCAGGGATGAAGCCAGAGTGCACATGCCCTCCAGGTCCCTGCTTGCCAGGTCCCCCATGACTCTGTGAGGTGGGTGAGTCCATGCCCAGGGGAGATGGAAAGTTTCAGCTCTGAACCAACCTTATCCCAAAACTCAAACCTCATGGTGGCCCCAGAACTCTGGGCCAGGATGAGATCACTGACTGGCCCCTGCCCAAGCCATGCCCCAGTGGCAGCTGGCACCACATGTTGCCAGCAAAGAGACCCAGGCAACCAAACCTCCTACTTACATTCCCAAGGGCGTGGGTGCCAGGCCCAGGTGGCCAGAGCGTACACACCTGGCAAGTTCAGACCTGCCTCATCGCTTCAGGAGCTCAGTGACAAGAATGAGGTCCCCACCTGGGGTGTGGGGAGCAGGCTGCAGCGCGTCTGAACCACCCTCACAAGATACAAGAGCGCTGCAGGTGCTGGCCTGGGTGTTGGGGACTCCTGGGGTTATGACAGCACCGGAGCACAGGGTCAGAGGTCAAGGTCTGTGTGGAAGGGAGAGGCCACAGGGCCACAGCAGGACAAGTTGAAGGACCCTCCGAGGGCAGTGGCTAACATGGCCACAAAGCCACCCTCTCAGGTGTGCCCCACTGGACTTCCTGCCACACCCCCACCGGCGTTTCCTGATGACAGTCATCTGGCTCAGCCATGCAGTCAGACAATCTTCGAATGCTGCTGTCTGGTCCATGGCAGTGACCTTGGGGGCACTTTGTGAATTGGTCATTCAAGATCATGAAGCCCTGGCCAGTTTGGCTCAGCGGTTAGAGCGTCCGCCTGCGGTCCGGAGAGACCCGGGTTCGGTTCCCGCTAAGGGCATGTACCTCGGTTGCAGTTTGTCCCCGGCCCTGGTTGGTCGTGCGGGTGGCAGCCGCTCGATGTGTCCCTTTCACATCGATGTTTCTCTCTCTCTCTTCCTCTCTCTCCCTCCTGCTCTGTCTGTACAAAAAATGGTGTCCTCGGATGAGGATTAAAAATAAATAAATAAATAAATAAAGATCATGAGAGCCCCCTCCTAATGGAGGTCCTGTCTTGGGTGAGGCAGAGCCCATTCATGCCTTCACCCCACAAGTAGTTGCTGAGCACTTGCAATGGTCCAGAGGTGGTCTGCTTGCTGGACACCCAAAGGATGTCCCCTGGCCTCAAGGGCTGATGTGTCACTCCTGCCCAGACCAGTGAGCAGGGGCTCTGGAGCACTGTTCTCCAGAGGGATGTCACACCCCTCAGGTCAAGGCCAAAGCTCGGGAGAAGGTTCCAGAGGCCACTGCAAGGGAGGGGCACGGGGTAGCCTTGTCAGACTCTAGTCTTGCCCTAAGGGCAGAGACCTGCTGCAGAACAGGGGGGCTCTCACCCTCAGAGCTGTGGAACAACCACAATGTCACCGCATCTGGGCTGGGGGCATCTTGTGACACACACAGAGCTATGCCTTCAGCCTCCAAGGAAAAAGTCCCTAAAAGTTTCCCAAGCTGACCTTTCCCATGATCCTGTCATTGGACATCACAGAAGACCATGCAAGGAGCTGACCCAGATCCCAGAACTCTGAAGACATGCTCACTCACGCATGCAAACTCATGCAGGACGCAGGGAACCACCTGGGGGCACGGGGAAGGGAAGGGCCCGAGACAAAGCGGCCTGGGCCTGAGCCGGCTGACCTTGACGGTCCCAGGCCCCACCAGCCAGGCGCAGGCGCAGGGGACACCACACTCAGCAGGCGCTCCGTGAATATGCGCTGAAAGACCAGGCACTGACCGGGCACCTGGACACTTGGCAGGTCTTGGTGTCAGGCCAGGGATGCTGGCTTTATTCTAACAGGGCCTCTGATTCTGCGCCCTTGGTCAGGCAGGCTGGCTCTGTGAGTGGACCCCTAGCTGCAGACGAGGAAGGCTGGCGAGCACGCGGAGGCTGGAGTCCACCCTGGCAGAGGGTCCTGGCCCAGGTGGGGGCCACACAGGCCCTGCACACGGGCAGGAGGGGTCCAGAGCCTGCAAGAACAGACGTTGGTATGACCAGATTTCCAGCTGGGGATCACTGCTGCCCACACCACAGACCGGAAGCCCCTCCTCCTACCTCGTGCTGCGGGTCCGGTCACCACCACCCCTCCCCCACCCATCGGAGGGCCGGGCCCTCACCGCCCCGCTCCGCCGAAGGAACTGTTGCCCCATCGGCCTCCTCGTACGCGTGGCCTGGGTGCCCATAGGTGTCCTGGCCACCTGTGGGTCTTCGAGCCCGCGCGGGAGCGCCCCTCCCCCATACATCCCCCGGGCCTGCAGGGGACCCAGAGGCCCGGCGGGCCCTGGGAGCGGGGGCCGGGGTTAGGGTCCCCTCGGTTCCCGACTCCGGTCTCCGCACGCCGGCGCGGGAAACCCCGACCCCGCCCGCGCCTGCCCCCGGCTCCGCCTCCTCCCGCCCGCCTGCTGGAGCCGGGCCCGCCTGCGAGTCGGCTGGGTGGCTCGGCGGTGTGGTGGAGCGGTGTCGTTCGCGGTGAGTGTCCGGCTCTGGGCGGGTGGCAGAGGGCGCGGGGGCCGAGGCCCTGGCGCCGCGGAAGACGCCCTGCAGGGCGCGGAGGGGAGCGAGCGCGGGGGCCTCCTCGGAGGTGCAGAAGGGGTCGGGGACGGCGGGGAGTCCGGGAGCAGGTGGGCCCGACCCCCGGTGGCTGAGCCTCCACTCCTAGCTCCCCAGCCCTCCCGAGTATTTCCACCGATCTGGGGCGGGGCGCGCGGAGACCGCCACCAGGCGCCCTCCCTGGCGGGCGGCGGCCCAGGGCTGCGCAGGATCGGGGGCCCATCCCCAGCTCTGGGTTCCCGGGACCCTTCACGTGGGGACTGAGGAGGGTCAGTCTTCCTGACTGGAGAAGGGGCTGGGATCTTGGCGGCGGCTGGGAGAACTGACTGCCCCTAAATGAGCACCCTGGGCTGGGAGCCCACCCTGGCAAGCGGTGAGGCGCCTTGTTTGGCACAGATTATGCAAGCAGCTGAGGTGCCCAGGAGCCCAGGCCCCCTGCGCTGGGACACTTGGTCCCTTCTCATCCCCGGAGACCAGGACAGGCTCCTACCTCTCCTACTGGCCCAGAGTCCCTGGATGCCCGTGCGCCTGCGGGAGGAGTTCGGAGTCTGGGTCCTGAATGGCACTGCCCGGAAGCGCGCCCGCTCCCCCTTCGCCTGCCCCTGCTAGTGCCGGGATCCACTCCAGGCTCTCTACCCTCTTGGCTGGGTGCCTGGCTGGGGATGCTGGGGACGCTGGCTGTGACTGTTTGTGCCTGTGCATACTGCAGCTTCTGTGAGGACCGCTCAGGGCTCCTCCGCACCCAATCTCTCTGTAGGGAAGAGGAGGAAACGCTTCTTCCTCCCCAAACTGCCTGGACCCAGGGACAAGTCCCAGGTGGGCTTGGCACTGCCCTCTGGACGTCCCAGCTCCTGCTTTCAACCCCAGAAGGGGGCCCAGGGCTGGGCAGGAGAGGCCTAGGGCCCATACTCAGGGGATCTAGCAACCTCTCCCCAAGTCTGTCCTCTCCCTGGCGTTCTTCCTCCCTAGGCCTTTGAAGCTGCTCCTCGCCCACTGCTGTCCCCTGAAGAGGCGCCCGGCTCCCCTCCCACGACTCCCCTCCCACGGTACCTCCTGCCAAACAGGACCGCAACCCCAGCTAGTCACCTTCAAAGTGCTTTTTCCCACCCACCGCCACAGGCCTGTGCTCATTGGCTCAGAGGGCACAGGGCAGCCCCCAGTGGCTCACACACCAGGGGAGACTAGCCTGGGCCCATTCCGCCCCAGCCCGCTCCCAGCCACAGAACTGGGGAATAGCAGATACTTGAGGGCCGAGGTCTTCAGCATTCAATACACACAGGATGTTTGAGCTTCCTCTTTGCCAACACTGTCCTAGGCAGGTGCTCAGCCTGATGTCCCAGCATGCCCCCAGCCCAGGCCCTGGGTCCCCATGTCCTGGAGAGTTCTGGAAGCCAGTTCTCCTTTTTGGCCACCATCCCCCACCCCCAGGACCACAGGCAGCCTGGTTCTGTGCTTCCGAGAAGGTTAACAAGTTCCCTCATCCGGCCTCTAGTGAGGCTCTACCACCCCCACCCCCACCCCCGCACCGAGAGCCCCGAGAGCCCCGAGAGCCCCGGGCTTGGGAAGGGGCCTCCGCCAGGAGTCTGACTGAGTGAGGGGAGGGGAGGGAGAGCAGATAGAGCAGAAATGTTCTCGTTCTACTGCTAGAAGCGACGGTCCCCCCTCTACAAGTGAGGTCACCAGGCTACTTGTCTTGGTGGGAAGCAAGGGCCCACCCTCCAGTGATCCGTGTCTCCAAAGCAGGAGGCTTTCTGTGCATGTGAAACCCAAACGTGTGACACCTGGACAGGAGCCTGTCCCTCCAGAATGAAGGTCTTCCTGCCCCTGCTGCTGGCCGCCCTTCTGGGTGTGGAGCGAGGTGAGATGCCCTCAGGGCCCCAGGCCTGCCGGTGGCCTTGTCCTCCAGGGCTCCCCCTCCCCTCTCCTAGTGTTGCCAGGTGTCCCTGGAGCCTGTTTCTGTGTGGCCTGTGTGACCCAGGAGTCCCCTCTCCCCACACCGAGCCAGCCCTCCTCCCGCCTGTCCCCACACCCTGCACCTGGGTGCCGCCTGCAGCCCCTCCCCTCCTTCTGCAGCCCACTCCCTGGTGTGCTTCTCCTGCACGAATCAGAACAGCAACTTCTACTGCCTGAAGCCCACCATCTGCTCCGACTCTGACAACTACTGCGTGACCATATCTGCTGCGGCCGGCGTGGGTGAGTGCCGGCGGGCTGTGAGCGCCGGCCCAGGGGGCCAGGCCTTCCCCTCCCCAGCCTGTCCACTCACAACCCGTCTTCCGGTGCAGGGAACATGGTGGACTTTGGCCACAGCCTGAACAAGGGCTGCTCTCCCGTCTGCCCCGCACCTCCCAACATCAACATCGGCGTGGCATCCATGGGCACCCACTGCTGCCAGAGTTTCCTGTGCAACATCAGCGCGGCTGACGGTGGGCTGCGGGCCAGCTCCGCCCTGCTCGGCCTCGGGCTCCTGCTCAGCCTGCTGTCCGCGCTGCTGCGCCCGGGCGCCTGACCACAGGACCTGTGCCGGCCCTGCCTCCCAAGCTCAGGAAGGAAAACCCAGCCCCGCCTGACCCTCGGCTCCTCGACCTGCCCCGTCCTGCCCCTTCCGCCTCAGTCCCCACCGTCAGGCCTGTCCCCTGCGCCTACTCCTGCCCCAGAGGGCCAGCTGCCCTCAATTCCAGGGTCAATGATGAGACTGTCCTCAGATGAGGGTCCCTCTGGAGCCTTTGAGTTCAGCAGTCAGAACTGAGTCACAGAGACACTGGAAAGGGTGCCGAACCCCAGGCCCTGCTCCCATCCGGGCCCTGTCTGCCCGACAATGACATGGGAACATGCAACTAACCCCAGCTGTGTGGAGGGGTGTCTGTGAGGCCCTGTTGGCTGTGCTGGGGGAACGGTTGGGGGTACGCAGCTCGAGAGCCCTGAGCTCCAACACCAGAGCCAGTTCTTGGGCACTTCTGTACCCCCCCACACACACACACTCCACAGCAGCCTCCAGGTCTAGGCTGTGGGCCCAGGGGTCAGCCCTCACCCTCACCCCCAGCTCGGCCCCCACCACCCCCACCCCCACCCGGAAGCCTCTTGCTGCTTTGGCACCTCAAATAAACATGCCCCCCCTTCCTCTTCTGGTGTGATGCCTGAGAGCCGTGTCCAAATGTGGGGACCTGAGGAGTCCCCCTGTGCTGTAGCTCCTCCCTGAGGCCCACTTGGGGACAGTGGGAGAGAGGGCACCTCCAAGTCCACAGCCAGCTGCCCACAGGCCTCGAAGGGAAGCTCACCCATGTCTCCCACTTTCTCCTGCCCAGGGCTGAGCAGGAGCATGTGGGAAGTTCTTTCTTAGGCAAGACAGGTCAGGAAGCAGCGAGGGAGGTCAGCCTGCTCTGGGAGGAATGGGGTAGGGCAGAGGAGCACAAGGGGACCTGGGACTTGGGGCCAGGATCCCAGGGCCAGTTGGGCCAAAGAGGATGGAAAACCTGGTTGGCAGGCAGGAGCTCGGTGAGTGAGTGACCAGGACTTGCCCCAGGAGCCTGTGGGAGTGGTCCTCTGGAGAAGGCCTTAGGCCCTGGCTGGAGGGCAGGAGCGCTGCCCCGAGTCTCCCTGCGTGACTGTCTCCCTGGCGAGCCTGTTGTGGTCTGCAGGGGCCCGGGACTCAGGCCCCCAGGGCAGCAGCCTGCGGGGTCTGCTGTGAGTGACCTGTGCTCCCAGCCAAGGGGCTTTGATTGGGCCACTGGGCGAGAAACAGAGAAGGAGGGAGAGAGCGGCGCAAGGTGCTCTGCAGGAGTCCTTTTATTCCTGGGGGGGGAGGGGACGGACGCGCCAGGGGGTCGCGCAGACCCAGGTCCACTCAGCTCCCCGCTCCGCTCCAGTCGTCCCACTTCCTGGGCTGGCCGGGAGCTCCAGCTCCGTGCCCGCGTCCAGGAAGGACAGCAGTCACCATGGGGCCAGGATTCGGCCTGTCTCCTGGGTCCGAGATCAGGGGCAGGGGAGGGGTTTGCACAGGGCGGTCACTGCAACCATGGCCACCGAGGGGCCCGGCCCACATGGGAGCAGCCTGGGTGAGACTCCGCAGGTGGCGAGAGTGTGAATCTCCTGAGTGCGTCAGGCCGGCAGTAAAAGCAAAAGAAGCCAAGGGGCCAGGAATCAGAATGTCCTGGGACACGGGTCATCGTGCCCATCGTAGTGCTGGGTCTTCACCTAAACTGCATTCAGTGTGTCACTCAGACCACAGACAGCTTTGCTGAACGACTGAGGCCAGTGGATCCTGTTGGACCGGGCAGTGTCTTGGTTGGCAGAGAAGAAGCTGCACAGGCAGCCAGGAATTCGGAATTGACTGGGGAGCTAGGAGCCACAGGGCGGCTGCGATGGCAGGACACCTGGGACACCTCTGCCTGTGGATTTGAACCTAAGCTCCACTCTGGGCGCCTACCGCTTCCTACAGCCACACTGCGGGCTGTGGGCGGCGTCTGCTGAGCGGAAACAGACGCAGAGGTCCGGGACCCGGGACCCGGATTCCCTCCGCTCTGAGTGGAGGACAGAGTCCCTCGAGGGCTGGGGCTGAGGCAGCCTGAGTTCCTGGGCCGCCCCCTGGTGGTGCTCTGGGTCCCCACCGCCCCCTCCCTCTCCCCCTCCTCCCAGGGAGCCTAGGTGGGGCCAGATGGGAGGAGGAGCCCAAGGCGCTGAGTTTCGATTTCCTGGAGCCTGTGGGAGGAGGAGGGGGGCGGGGAAGGGTGTGGAATTCCTGGGAGTGGGAGTGGGGGAGGCGGGGAAGGAAAGGAGCCTGTAAGCCTTTGTAGGGCACCGCACCCCACTCTTCTGTCCTGACATCTGCCTAGGCTGCCAGGAGGGGCCGGGCGCAGTGCTGTCCAACTGGGCACACTGGTCAGGAGTCTGGTACCTCAGGACCTAGGTGCCCTGGTGATGCCCCCCACTTCCCTGCCTCCGCCCACAGAGGGGGTCTCTGGGACTGAACAGGCTTGTCCCATGGGTGGGGGCTCACAGCAGGCCCAGATAGCTCTGCCCCTCCCAGGCTGCTTGTCCTTATCCGGTCTCCTCTGGCCCCGCCTGGGGGACAGCGGCCCTGCCCAGCCTCCCACTGCTCCTGCGGTGCCCACGGCCATGATGGTCCTGCAAGGCCCTGCCCCTCCTGCGCCCAGTCCTCAACCTCCAGCCCAGTGCTCCCTGCCTGGCTCCCCACCGCTCCCCACCGCGGGGGCAGGTGCTGAGACCATAGCCGGGGCTGGTGGCTCGGCCACAGCAGGAGCACCCTGCAGGGGTCCATGGGCAGGACTGGGCAGGCAGGCCCTCTGAGCCCCACCCCAGGGACTCTGGGCAGTTTTCGGGGACCCCTTAAGGTAATAACCTTACGAGGGGTGGTGGTTCGAGGGATGGTTTGGGACGGGCAGCCCTCTGGAGCAATCCGAATGACAGGTGAAGTCTTTGCGTGGAAAGCACAGGGTGAGGGATGAGGGTGGCGTGAGCACCGCTGCTCCAGGCCTGGGGGCAGCTAGGACCCGAGATGGAGTTAGTCAGCGGGGCCACTGGCATCAGGCAGACAGGACCCTGGGGCCTGTTGGAAGTGACACCAGCCCTCACCTCCCATACAGCAGCCAGGGCGGGGGGGGGGGGGGCAGGCTGCAGCACAGCCTCCCCCCACCGCTCTCGGGTCCCCTACACTGCGGTCATTCAGCTGTTCAGTCTCCCAGTCCGTCTGTCCTGCTTTTGTACAGGGAGGTCCCCCTGAACCTTTCTGTAGTGTTGCCCCTTCTAACATAGCTGGGGTCCTTCCTGAGAGCTTTGAGGACGCCAGGGCTGAGGGCCCCTCAGACCCTCTCCCCCCAACCCAGGACCACTCCCCTACCCCTCATCCCTCAACTTCTTTGCTGCCTGCCCCCAGCCTTATAACGCCTCCTCTGGGAAGCCTGGGAGCCAGTGGGCACGAGGCAGAGCTTCTGCTGTTTGTTAAAAATAACTAGGCCAGCCCTGGCCGGTTCACTCAGCGGTTGGAGTGTCGGCCTGCGGTCCAGGGGCCCCGGGTTCCGTTCCCACTAAGGGCGCGTGCCTCGGTTGTGGTTTGTCCCCGGCCCTGGTTGGATTATGTGGGTGGCAGCCACTCGATGTGTCCCTTTCACATCGATGTTTTTCTCTCTCCCTCTCTCTTCCTCTCTCTCCCTCCCACTCTGTCTAAACAAAAAATGGAAAAATGGTCCTGGCCGGTTTGGCTCAGTGGTTGGAGCGTCAGCCTGTGGACCAGAGAGTCCCGGGTTCAGTTCCCGCCAGGAGCACGTACCAAAAAAAAATACAAAAATGTCCTCAGATGAGGATAAAATAAATAAATAAATAAATAAATAAATAATTAAACAGGCTAGCCCTGGCTGGTTTGCTCAGTGGTTACAGCATCAGCCTGCAGACCAATGAATCGTGGGTTTGATTCCGGTCGAGGACACATACCTTGGTTTCAGTTTGTCCCCGGCCCTGGTCAGGTTCTGCAGGAGGCAACCAGTCAATGTGGCTCTATCACATCGATATTCTCTCTGTCTCTCTGTCTCTCTCTCTCTCCCTCCCTCCCTCCCTCCCACTCTGTCTGGTGATAAATGGAAAAATATCCTCAGGTGAGGAATTAAGAAGAAGAAGAAGAAGCAGGCTATGCCCAGCCGGTGTGGCTCAGTGATTGAGCATCGACCATGCACCAAGAGGTCGCTGGTTCAATTCCTGATTAGGGCACATGCCCAGGTTGTGGGCCAAATCCCCAGTGGGGAGCACGCAGGAGGCAGCCAATCGATGCTCTCTCTCAGCGATGTTACTATCTCTCTCCCTCTCCCTTCCTCTCTCTCTAAAATTAATAAAGAAAGACATCAAAGTTACAACTAAACTACAGAACAACCATCATTCAAAACTGCCTGACATCCAGCTGAATGGAAGTCCTACGTCTGCGGATTTAAAGAAGCAGCCCCATGGAGACTGGTAGGAGGGGTGGAGGCAGACAGGCTGGTCCCACACCCACGTGTGGCGGATAAAAACCAGGAGGACACCTCGGCTGGGAAGATCCTCCCTGAGGTCTGAGGGGTCCCCATCCCACACCAGTCGCCCCGCTCAGGGTTCCAGTGCCAGGAAGAGAATCCCCATCACTCTGGCTGTAAAACCAGTGGGAACTGAGGCTCAGGGAGGCTGAGGCAGCTGGAGCCCCAGGCAGCTCCTCTTAAAGGGCCCGCGCACGGACTTATCGGACTCACTCCCTCTAAGCTGGGAGGGGAGGCAACTTGAGGGGCCCCAGAGACATACAGGGAAGACAAACTGAGCTGTTTGGCATGGGAGCGAGGGCTGGAGAGGGGGCTTTCTCTGGGACAGACGTGCTGTCAGAGGCCTTTGTTCCTTTGGTGAGCCCTTCCCTGGGGCGGCAGACAGCCGCCATATCTGGGACTCCAGCAACCTGGCTCACACTGGTAGCCCCGCCCTGGTGACTGCCTGAGGCCCCGCCCCACCCCACCCAACTTTCAGGCCCACCCAAGCTGTTGCCAGTTGCTTTACCATAGGATTGGCCTGTCTTGGATCCTGCTTCAGGTTTTTCTAAATTCTTTCAAACGAGCAGCATCTGGTCTCAGCTAGCCCGATACCTTTCGTTAAGTAATACATAGAAACAAACACAGGGAGGCAGCCAAAATGAGGAGACAAAGAAACAGGTCCCAAATGAAAGAATAAAACAAAACCCCAGGAAAAGAACTAAGCGAAATGGAGATAAGCAACCTAACAGATGCTGAGTTCAAAATACTGCTTATAAGGATGCTCAATGAACTTAGTGAGAACCTCAGTGAACTTAGTGAGGGCCTCAAGAGCATCAAAAAGGACCAGTCAGAAATGAGGGATGCACAGTCAGAAATGAAGGAGGCATTAACTGACATAAAGAATAATTTACACAGATTCAATAGTAGAGTACGTAAATCCAAGAAGCAAACCATTGATTTGGAATATAAGGAAGCAAAAAACACCCAATCAGAACAGCAAAAAGAAAAAAGAATCCAAAAAAATTAGGATAGTGTAAGGAGCCTCTGGGACAACTTCAAGCGTGCCAACATTCGCATCTTGGGGG